GCCGTTTATACGAAATACGCGAAACGATGCCGTTGGACTGTGCTCAGTGTCTCGACTCGGTTGCCCGATAAAACAGGGAGGAGGGAAGTGAATTTGGGGTGGAGTACAGTGAATAACTAAGAAAAGACTCTAGTGGACGGCTATGACAGTGCAGTGACTTGCTGATTGTTGTTTGTTTCTGTTCGACGCATCCGGTCTTTTCTTAGGTTCTTCAGAGTTAATTATACTTTGTGGAGGAAGACGAGACGAGAGTCTCAACCACGGCACCAAAATTGAGCTGGACTTGCACCAACGAGCCGCCGGCCACTTTATGAGGTGAGTCTGTATGTACTGTTTGCTGGTGAGATTTGGTGAGAGTGCTCGAGGATGTTTGAACGCTTGTGGAATCGTGTTTGAAGCTTCTTTAAATTCGAATTTTGTGGTAAATGGAGAGTCTTTTAAAATCGATCGAGGTGTTTGTAGATCGTTGAAAAGTAACGTATAATAGGATATATATATATATAACGTATATAATAGAATTTTTTAAACGAAAGAATAAACGGATAATTGAAATTTCTTTTGTTCGAAATCGAATTAAGCTTGTGATAATGAAGTGAACGAGAAGGAAGAAATTTTAATAATAAAAAACAAAAAGAACAAATTAAATTATCTTCTCAATAAGAAACTTGATGAATTTTTAAAAATTCCTTATACGTCGTTTATATATTGCCTTTATACATCGACACACTTCGATCCATTTTCGAATAATAATATAAACACAATCGTCGCTATGATTAATCCAAAACAAAAGCCAATCTAATCCGGCAATTTGTTTTTCAATCACAATACCAAGAATCCTTCGTACATGGGCACGCAACCTTACAAATCCGTGTATACAAACATCCGACGGTTGTCGCGTCTCTTTCAAACCTTCTCAAACCATTTCCTCGCCATCGTTCCATCACGATGCAAATCGCCTTTTCCACGCCAATTTTCTCTCACTTTTAACCCCAACGCTCCGCGTCGAGCGTGTGCACTTTGTGCCGTTCCGCGCAAACATCGTCAAACCATATCTTAAGAGCAATAAATTGCCGCGTGCACACTATCGTCGACCGTTGCCTAAACATTCAATTAGCACTTCCTAATCCCCCGTCGCAGCTTGTCAACAGCCATTACTTCCAGCATCTTCTCCTCTCTCTCTCTTTCTCCTCGGTGAACCACCCCCGAGCACCCTTGGGGCCTCTCTGGAGCAGCCACGCTGCTCCATTCCACCCCCGCCCTCCCTTCCTCGCATCTCTCTAACCAACGTATCTATTAATCCGGGCTGAATGACACTCGAGGGTGGCCCCGCAGGGCCGAGGGTGATTCTAACCCTACAAAATCGTAACTACCGCCCCCAGGGTTAACTCCCTCGACCACTACAGGTTTTTCTTTCTTTTTTTTTTCTTAATGAGTGCTCAAGGAGATCCGCGTAATTGTGTTAGTTCGGAGGGAAGGAGCACGAGTATTACATCCTCCTCCTCCTCGTCGGTTGCGGAAGGAAAGAGAAAGAGAGAGAGAGAAAAGGGAGAACACCCCTGAACGAAGGGTGACATTTAGGGTAAAAAGACGAGGAGAAAGAGAGAGAGAGAGGAAGGAACGTGGCGAGATTGGTTAATGGCTTTGATACGAGAAAAGGATAAGATTAATTTGCTTATGAATCAAAGAGCAAACGAATAAGCAATTACCGGGACCGTGAGGAGTGGCTGCACGAGTGCCCTCGCTCGGTTCTTCTGCGTGTCGCTGGCGCACAATTAAAAGCCACCGAATATACCGTTGGAATTCCTTTCTGTGTACGAATTTTGTGTACGTGTACGCGCGTGTATGTGTGTGTATGTGTGTGCACGCGTGGATTATTGCATGGTGAGTACCTATTATAGCGGTGACCGGTGAAATTCGCTTTTGACGGGATTTATAGACGAAGGATTTTAGAGAGTGGTATCCGGTTAATTATAGGTGTCAACGTTTTGTTTTTTAACGACGATACGTGTTTGTGACGGAATGATATCCCGTGGTGAATATAATACCGATAATTGAAGTATTTATTAGTTCTCTGCCGTAATTTTTTTATTTTTTATTTATTTTTTTACTTTTCGTAAATTTGTTTCTTTTTGGACCAGTTGTGTTCCCCGGCTCGGTTGTGAAAGGTGGATGTTCGCGAGTTTGGTGAAATAACTTGTTGCTTTGGGATGAATGAAACGTGTGATTGATGTAACGAGTCTGTCAATTTGGATGGTTATTCAGCAGTTTCTTAATGATTTTAATCTCCTTCTGACAGGCCGCAACGTTTTGATTCTCGTGACTCTTTTAGTCACGTTTCGGTAAAGAGAAAATTGCCGGTGAGCCGTTCGAAAGATTGTTTGTTGCCCTCGCGACGGTACTAATTTTGCCGATAGCTCGCACGATTCGAAATTTACGCATCAACGGGTTACGAAAAATGTATGTACGGGGATGGTAAATTGCATGACTGATGTAATATGCATTCATCGTATTAAATTACGCGGTGTAAAATATTGTTCAAACAATTTCAATCGAAATGTACATTTTCAAATCTGTCGTTACTTCTCCATAGAAACTTTTGGAATGTTTTCCATTGTAGACATTGTTTCGCAGAAAATTTTTCGAAAATCAAAAATTCTAATTCCAGTCCACTTTCTAACTCTTTCGAAATCTTTTCAAGAGATTAAATTAAAGATTAAACCATTCGATATAATTCTATACAAATTCCAATTTATATATAACAATATAATTTTATTACCCAATCCTTCGAACGAAACATCTGCAAAAATCAGCGAGAAGACGTGAATCGTTCAATCGACGATCGAATATCCAAAAAAGAAAGAAAAAAAAAAAACAAACTTTCGAATTACTCTCCAGACAAACTTTCTCGTATTTCGTCGGTCAATCTCATGGCTCCCTTCCTCGACCAATTATACAAAAATTACCACTCGAAGGATACTCAAACTACCCGATTGGGCGACTAAATGCCCAACAAAACCTTCAAATTACTGCCAAAGACAAACTTTCTCGTGTTTCGTCACCTCAACCTCGGGAAACGGAACGTCATTCACGCCAAGGACATCCCTTAAACTACCCGAGCCGGTGACTAAATAACCAAAATAACATCGCGAAGATCGTAAATCACAATGCATACCCAAGCCCAGGGTCTCCGTCGGTCCGTGCCCCGAGACAATAGAGAGCCTCGGCCTTCTCTCCTATCTCCTAACTCTCGAGGAGTTGGCTGAGGGGATCCGGACGTCGGTCAGTCGGACGTCGTCGTCGTCGTCGTCGTGGTTGTTTTCACGTGGGCGTGTCCCCCCTCCCCTATTAACGTGGCCGCTGGGCTTACTAATTGGTGGCTGCGTTTAATTACAGAGCCGGCGGCAACATGTGCGACGGCTCGTTCACCGAGACCCTGCGCGGTATGCAGGGTATGCCGGGTACGTCACCACCCGGTGGCGCGGGGGTCGGCCCCATGGGGGTTGGCCTCGGCAGCCCTCTTGGCCCGAGCCCGAAGAAGGCGCAGGTGGAGCACATCAAGAGGCCGATGAACGCGTTCATGGTCTGGTCCCGGCTCCAGCGGCGGAAGATCGCCCAGGAGAATCCCAAGATGCATAATTCAGAGATATCCAAAAGACTCGGTGAGTGGTGGCAAAAATTTTCTTTTTTTGGGAGGAGGAAGGGGAAGGGAAGGGGTTAGCCTCGAGGTTTCCTCGAGTTTAGTGTTTCTTTTTTTTTTTTTTCTAGTAATTTACGTAGGTTACGTTTTCATCCTTAATTTGTCG